CATCTTGAGACGAGCTCGAGTTTGAGTGGAACGGGTCGTTCGACGAGTCGAAACTCACAAACGGCTTATAAGCTCGTAAAAAAATGTGAATAAAAAAGTAAAAACAAAAAAAAATTCGAACTTGTGGGTACCCACAAGCTAAGGTGGTGAGCTTATGAGCTCGACCCTTGAGCACGAGCTCGTGGGTACATGGGTTGACATTCCCATCCCCATCTAATACTATTTTTTATTATTATTATTATTTTTTTTTTGTGGAAATTACATGCTACCCTAATTTTAAAGTATGCATCATAAACCATATTTGAAGTTTCACATTTCAAAATTCAGATTATAATTAAGGACCCGTTTGGTATCCATTTTTTCCAAAATACATTTTTCTTTCTCTTCTTTTCAACTATACATTCTTTATTAAAATAATATTACACGTAAATCAAAAAAATTTCTTATTTGTCAACCACAGATTTCCCATTAATTTAATATTTTAAAATGCATTTTTACATAAAAATGAGTCTGAAACACCCTATTATGCCATTTGTCATTTTAATATGTATGGAGTAGCCATCTCATTCTTAATTTTTCCACATGATTTTTAACCAAGATCTTAATTCTTCTTTTCATAAGGTTATAATATTATTAACATAACTCTTTACTATGTTACATGATAATAGAAAATATGAATATGCATGGAAAATTTGCTAAAGTTTTGGAATGTCACAAAAGATTTTTATTTTATTGGATTGGATTGGTCTTGCTATTTTATTTCATTGTCACAAAAATATGAACTTTTTTCAGGGAGTGGTCCAAACATGACTAAAGACACGGCCTGAGATGTTTTATTAAAAAATGGATTTTCCAATTTTTACCCCTAATATTTTTTTTTTTTTTTTTTATGAGTTTCTGTTTGCAATGTTGACGCATACAAGTTCTGTTTGTTAAAATTCTTTTATTATTTTATAAGACATGCCTTAAAGAATTCCTTACTTTCTATAATTATGTATTATTTAAATCACGTCTTGAATTAAAACTTATATCTCACTTTCTTGAACATGTCCTTAGAAATGATTTATCACATTCTTTATTGTTGTGTTCTTTCTTATTTTGTGGCATATGGGGTTCTTCGTTCTAGCGTTTCAATCATTCTTAATTTTTTCACGTAATTATGTAAATCAATTCAAGGAAAGAAATTGTTATGAACATCTAAATAAACCACATATTTTTGAGGAATCTAAAAAACATTTTTATTTCGATGTGAAAATAATAAAAGAATTGTGTTTGGTGTACACCTTTGTTTACACAATGTCATATGACATTATCTCATTTGACAGCATTTGACAATTTAAAAAAAAAAAATTTATTTTTTCATCATATGATTTTTTTGATAACAATGCATGTGTCAACAAGTGTGTACAAATTGGGTATACAAATGGTAAAGTCCTTAACAAAAGAATTAAATTGAATGTATAGAAAAGAAACTCACAGAGTTCCTACAGATGAGTCTCAAGAAGGTCGGGCTCACGTGGGCCCTGATGTATTAAAAAATGGCCAAAAATGCCGACTCCACCACTGTGAGTAGTCTGTAAAATATCTGTGAGTTTTCTTTCTGTACCTGTAGCTCGGTTCTTAATAAAATCATAAAAATCAATCAATAATGCTACACAAACAGACTAAAAAATAGAGGTACACGTGTCGACACATTATTAAATGATTGGAAAAAACAAAAAACCAAACATCCAAACAAGTACTACCAAGTCAGCGATTCCATTTTTGTCCAGTCTTTGAGGCTGTTCAATCATCATTATTGAAAAATCAATCTTTTGGTGCCCTAATGTGGGCCCCAAAGCTAAGTAAACTATGCTAAATTAATGTGCATCGTTATCAACAGCAAAAGGATGGGTTTTACTGGAAAACACGCACTAATTAACATTATATTAGAATGCCCAAGTCCCAACGAATCGAAATTCTCTTTTTCTTGATACAGTGCAACAATACCTTTTCTATTACTTCATTTCAATTTGCAAATACATAAATCCATATTTTCCATAAGAAGGGAGCAAACATAACACACGGGCATATATTTTTAGAACATCCATATTTGGTAAGTAATCATCCATCCATCAATAGTTATAAGCTTAGCTCCATTGTTTCAGCTCAGTATGGCAGCCTGCAAGAAAGAAATTAAGCTGAAAAAGGAATGAAAATTGAAACCACAATTCATTGATGGAAGGATGATCCTCTTTTGAAATGGCTTATGACATAGGATTAGATTGAACAATAAATACGATTTTAATTTCTTTTTCTCCCTCAACACTGTCAATTACTATCCATTTCACATTGCTAATAATGAACTCACCCGAGCTTGAGAGACGTATCTGAGCTATCCGAATCTTGCGGAGGGCCAATCGAGTTACATGCGTTAGTAACAGACTCCGATGATTGACCATCCTCCTCGACTATTTTCACAGAATCAGCTGCTATCATATTTTTCTTCCCTTTCGATATCTGCTGGAAAACACGCACTAATTAACATTATATTAGAATGCCCAAGTCCCAACGAATCGAAATTCTCTTTTTCTTGATACAGTGCAACAATACCTTTTCTATTACTTCATTTCAATTTGCAAATACATAAATCCATATTTTCCATAAGAAGGGAGCAAACATAACACACGGGCATATATTTTTAGAACATCCATATTTGGTAAGTAATCATCCATCCATCAATAGTTATAAGCTTAGCTCCATTGTTTCAGCTCAGTATGGCAGCCTGCAAGAAAGAAATTAAGCTGAAAAAGGAATGAAAATTGAAACCACAATTCATTGATGGAAGGATGATCCTCTTTTGAAATGGCTTATGACATAGGATTAGATTGAACAATAAATACGATTTTAATTTCTTTTTCTCCCTCAACACTGTCAATTACTATCCATTTCACATTGCTAATAATGAACTCACCCGAGCTTGAGAGACGTATCTGAGCTATCCGAATCTTGCGGAGGGCCAATCGAGTTACATGCGTTAGTAACAGACTCCGATGATTGACCATCCTCCTCGACTATTTTCACAGAATCAGCTGCTATCATATTTTTCTTCCCTTTCGATATCTGCAGCAAACAAAAAATAAAACCTTCAATTTTTCCTTAAACTATAAGTGCTTACGTGCATGCAGGTGGTGCACATACGTCCGTGCCAGAGAGGGAGATTCTTTTCAGTTCATACCTGCAGTCTTAGGCGCTCATTCTCTTCCATGAGTTCCATTCTCTGCCCATTTCATAATTTTAAGACTATATTTACATGCAAATTTGATGATTCAACTTACAACTAATTAGACGTTTTTCTATAAAATATGTGTTAACAAGTTCGGTGGAGTGACCTTTTGTTGAAGTTGATTAATCTCTTTCATGATTTTCTCACTCTGTAAAATCATGAATACTCTATCAATGCCAAGTTTATGAAATCCAAGAAAAATATATACAATTAAGGCAATCTTACAACATAGTACAAAATCTTAAGCACTGACCTTTTTGTCTATCACGCGGCTCAACCCGGTTTCAAGTGATCTCTCTAACTTCTGCAACTCTTCAATACTCAGTTCTTGAAGTTCTGATCTCTTTCATGATTTTCTCACTCTGTAAAATCATGAATACTCTATCAATGCCAAGTTTATGAAATCCAAGAAAAATATATACAATTAAGGCAATCTTACAACATAGTACAAAATCTTAAGCACTGACCTTTTTGTCTATCACGCGGCTCAACCCGGTTTCAAGTGATCTCTCTAACTTCTGCAACTCTTCAATACTCAGTTCTTGAAGTTCTTTTCCTTTCATGTACCTGTTATTAACAAGTATCATGCCTAAGTTTCGTGCTGACCATATCAAAAAAGAGCTATGGAAGCACAAACCTCAGTTGATGGCTTCTCTCAGCCACTTCTTTGCTTAATCTGGAGTAGTTACTGTCCTCGACTAGCTGCTTCGGAATTCCCTCGTTCTTCCACAAATTAATTGAAAATACAGTTTTTACTTCCAAGTTATGCATGTATTCATAAGATGACATAATACTAGAATTATGCATTTGATAAGGTTATAGTTGACCATTAAGAAATGTATAGTAATATATACCAAACATCTATGTGAGTGCAAATTTTTATGCATTATTAGATCATATGGAATGATGCGATTGTCATAAATTTTCTTTTTTAGTATTAATATTGTTGAGTGCTATTGTGCTAATTAATATACTTTATCAAACAACACTAATTATCAAGTGATATACCTTCAATTGCTGAGCTTCAATATTCAATAAAGAATGTTAAAAGAAAAAAAATAAAAATTACCTGAAGTTCAAGAGATGATTGCTCCAACTTCTCCAGGTTCTTTGTGTGCAAATCATGCTTTTCAAGTATGTCCTTCATGCTTTAGAAAACCCCCACCCAAAAAAAAAAAAAAAAAAAAAAAAAAAAAAAAAAAAAACAATAAAAAATTTTTAATTCACTCCAAAAAAACCCCCCCCCAAAAAAAAAAAAAAAAAAAAAAAAAAAGGGGAATAAAACATTAGATAATTGTTCATTCTACTCCCCTAGCAGCTAGTACAAAGACAGTTTTAAAACCAAATGCATAGATAGTCAATATTCCTGCATCGTCAACTGGAACGTCCCATAGCTTAGAGTGTCTACACAGCTATTTTTGAAGACAATATATAAATAAATATGTGACCCTTTCTCTAAGGGCTTGAGCATAAGGTGAAGAGTCCAAAAACATCAAACGAGCAATTTGATGTGCTAGTCGAATTTCAAGATTGGGAGCGAGCCTCCATCTCGTGGTGCATGTTAAGATAAAATTTCACACCAATTAAATATTAAAAATATTACCCAGTATAACAAACATATATTACCCAACATAATAATAGTTTATTCATATTAACAAAATAGATATTTTAAGATGAAACTCAAGACTAAATATTCTCAAACCAACCACGTATGTTAAACACTTGAATATGAATAATATCACGGAACTAGAATGCTAAAATTACATATCACAAGAATGCAAGCTGCATGTAAAAGTCTCAATCCCTATTGACCATCTCATCTAAAAGTTTAAATTATTAGAGAGGAATCACACGTATTCATTTATATCTTGCCTTCAACGCCCCCCTCACAAGTTGAATAGATTGATTTTTTACATCAAATTTGTCGCACACAATTTTTTTAATGGGTAGCCATGACATTTGAACCCAAATTTTATTAGTTACTCTTATATCATTTTAATCATCTCGTCTAGAAATTACGTTAAAGAAATGACATGTTCATATATCATTAATTGCTTCTTAGAAAGTCAAAATGGGCATCTTAACATGATATGAAATGATAATTCAACCCAAAACTTGTATTCTCATTAAAGCTAATCACCAGCCAATTAAACAAGCATTAGTTTCTAAACTCGTGTCGTGCCAAAATACAACTCAAAATCAATTATTCGTGTCTATAGCCTTTTGTCTTGACATTGTATAACTTAAGAATGCCAACTAGCTTAGCTAGAAAAGTAAATCAAACATGGATAAGTTTAAAGAATGAAAACATATCTAACCTATGATTTATTATATAGTAACTTGATGTAATGTTTGGTCTGTTGAATTGAACAAGAAGGTAAAAAAAATGCTTAAAATGTATTATAATGCGTTACTAACATGTTTTATATTGAAAACACTTGACATATGGGTCAAGAAATATTCCTCTGAAGTTCGATATTAAAGAATTTAAGCAAAGACACAACAAGACTACGTGCAAAATCTCAACATTGTTCAAATTCAACTTAGAATATACATTTCCGAAACTCTTGGTCCACCATGCGAGATTAGGTACAAAAAGCTTACTTTGACCACATTATAATCAATTTCCATCCACAATTTCGTCAATTGACCAAAAATTTTATTTTGACCACATTATAATCAATTTCAATGAGGGTAAAATGACACTTTCATATTTACCACATTAAATAACAAAAAAAAAAGGAAAAACTATACCTTCTTCCCAAATCCACCCAACCCATCAAATCACTTCTTACAGGGCAAACATTGTACAGAGATAGATAATATACATACTACTAAACCAAATTATACGCATGTATTGTATGCATATATGGAGAGAGAAACAAGAAGAAAATGAACAAAGTGAAAAACTCAAAGCTGGAAAAAGAGCTTTTTCCTTTAGGTTTTGAAAGACTTTTCAGCAAGAACTTCAGAGGTGAAATTTTAATAGAATACACACTTTTAATTCCAAGACGCTCGATTTTGCTAAGCATCAACATCTCCATTTGAAAATCCAATGGCCGTAACAAAAACACACATTGAAATTATACCTAAAATACACAGGGATTGATTTTCTATTGAAAGATGCAAAAAAGTCTTTTTCCTTTATGTTTTAAAAGAAAAAGTACTTTTTAGCTTCTGATAAGTGTGTTTTATACACTTATTTTGACCACAAAATATGGATAACTATTGATATATATGTTGAAAAGTGGCTTAATTCTATATAAATTATGTTTTGTAGGACAATATTCATGAATGTGGCGGAATCTAGGAAAAACAAGTGAAAATGACCAAAATGAAAGAGAACAAAAGTTCAGGGACCAATGTGCAAATAGCCGAAAGATGATCCGAAAGCATAAATGAGGATATGAAAGCGCTAAGGACCAAATTGGTAAAGATATAAAGTGTTGGAAGAAAAAGAAATGAGAAAAGAGGTCAAGAAACAACAAAATGAAGTTCAGGGACTAAAATGTAACTTTTTCAAAGTTTACCAATACTATGCGGTTGCATAGAAGGATCTTCTATGCGGTTATGTACCTATTTTCAGAACTTGAAGGACAGATTTTTAATGAACTATGCTCTATCATTGAATTGTACTATGCTATAACATAGTACAATTCTAATGCGAAAAATCTGGTTTTCTTATATGATTAAAATTATTATCGAAACCAATCTTGGGACATGTTTTAAAACCCTAAGGCCATTCCTATTATGCACTCTAACATATTTCTAAGAGTTTAGAGCATAGAGGAAGGCAAGAAACGCGAAGATCGACCCGAAGACGTGAAGATTCAATTCAAGAAATAATTGGGTGATGCCGTTTCTTCAATATTCTTTTTGTTTTCTTATTTTCACCATACTAGGCTAGATTTGTTTGTGTTAGGAGAATGACGAACTACGTGATATGACTTTTTAATCTTTAGTTTTATATTCTCGACATTAAAATACGTTTTTGGAGTTTGAATCATTTATATGAATTTATTTTCTCCACAATTATTGTGCACATGATTGTGTGAATTTGATGGCTTGTTTCATACATTCAAAAGAAGAAAAATAGGCTCAACATGGTATAAATCGTCGTAGAGTCCAATAGGGGATAGAAATATACTTTCCTATACTCTATGTGAATTTTAAAGTGCTCATAAAAATTCATGCATTTTTGTGTATTCGCATCCGTCTAGAAATATAGTAGGATCGTATACGAGAAAAGGTTTAACATTATCCGAGAGAAATTGTTTGATAAAATAGGAACATTGATTCGTGAAAATTCAACCGTATTGTCAAAGTGCAAAACCAAGTTAAAAAAGGGCTTATTGCATGGAGACTCACAATCCTAGTACTTTATCATTAATTAGAACACTTTAACTTGCATTTAAACACAACTTGCATTTCGTTAGTTAAATCACTTATAATTACATAAGTAATTTAGTTTAGTTATAATTTGCTTCACAACAAATACTCTCATTTTTATTTGTTTCGATTAAGGTAGCGATAATAGAAATTGTACTAAATCAATCATTGTGAAATGATATTCGAACTTAATCCACTTTATTACTTATTAACGAACCATACACTTTCAGTGATTTTACATCGAATTATATTTTCATGAAAATATGCTACTTGGGGACTTCATGGCACTGTTAGTCATCCAAAACCAATCTAGCATTGTATATCCCCCATTAGGGTAGCCAACTTTCAGCTGAAAACGAATGTAATTTAACTCTTTCAGAATGGGGGCATCAGTACTACGGAGTGGCTAATGAGAATCCGTACACACATATATCCCGATTCTTTGATACCCGTCAATACTTCAGGTATCAAGGAATTTCAGACGATGCTATTAGGCTGAGTTTATTTCCACATACTTTGCTGGATAAAGCACTCAAATGGATGGATTCACTTCTCATTGCGAGCACGACATATCAATATTTAGTCAGGGTAAATCTAAATCATTTGATGAGACTAGGAATAGGTTTAAGAACATGCTAAGAAAGTGTCCTCAACATGGTTTCGACAAGAAAACCCAAGTTAGATTTTTCTATACAAAATTACTTCCATCTTTCAAAAGCATGGTGGATTCATCATCTGATGGGTCCATATCCATAAGAACAATCGATAGAGCATAGGAATTGTTCAAGAGAATGTCTACAACTTTAGCCATGTGATCCTCTGAGCGGGTGGTTCGAAAGAAATCAACGAGGTTTTATGAGGTAGATACTCACTCGGCCTTATTTGCTAAAATAGACTCTCTGTTTTATAAGATGGAAAGCATATCAAATTCAACAAATGCAACACAAGCATGGAAACCAAGTTGTGAAGAATGTGGAGCTGATCACAGTACAACAGAATACCCAATTCTGTCACAGAGAATGGAGCACGAGGAGTACGCGCAATGGGGTCAGTGTCAACAAAACAATCCAAATTTAGACACTTACAATCCTAGTTGGAGAAAGCACCTAAATTTCTCGTGGGGTGGAATCCAAAATCAAAATAGACCCTAGGGACAATTTCAGCAGAAAAAGAAAATTCAGTTAAATGAGATGTTTGTGATGTTCATGAAAAAGACTGATAAATACATGGAAGCAGATAACCAATTCATGAGGAAAACTGAAACAACTCTCTAAAATCAGGGTGCTGCAATTAAGAACTTGGAGACACAGGTGGGACAGATAGCACTTTCTATGATAGGAAAGACACCAAGTATTCTACCATGCAATACGGAAGTGAACCCATGTAACATGTTCAAGCAATTATTACAAAGTGTGGTTCAATTACTAGAGATCAATGTGAAGAGACCAAATGCAGACAAAAAAATAGTACCTTCTTCTGATGAGGAGCAGACTGACCAAACCATAGAAACAACTACCAACGAGAGTTCAAATACACTATAGGCAAATGCAACTGCTCCTATTAATCCATACGAGCCCCCAATTTACACAAAATTTTTGGAGGTTTTCAAGAAACTTCACATAAACATTCCGTTGGCTGAGGCACTCACCCAGATACACAGCTACGTCGAATTCTTGAAAGACATCCTATCGAACAAATGCAAGTTGGAGGAGCATGAAACGGTGATGTTGACAGAGGAAGGTAGGGCTAGAATTTGGAA